ATTTCTCACAAGGATTCTCAAAGTTCAAGCTTGTACAAGTACAATTAGAGGAAACTTTTAAAAAGGGAAAAACAAATAAAAATAATCTTTTCAACAAAATTGGAGAAAAATAAGTTTTCTTTGATTTCCCTTGTTTCGTTTGGACTTTAGTCTCTTTCAAGACAGCTTCGATTGGACTAGGACTTCCTTAAAGCTTCCTTCGATTCAGAAGGAAATGATCTTCATACAAGCTTCGACTGTGTTTTGTTTCCCTTTGAAACAACGTCCTTCGATTCAGGAAGTAAAGGCCTTCTTTTGGTTTTCTTCTATTCATAAAGTCAATAATCTTCTGAAAGCTTCTTCGATTCAGAAGGCGATAACTTTCTGAAAAGTGCCCTTCGATTGTACCATTGGGCCCTCACATGTTTTCCTTGGATTCACAAGTTTCCGATTGGATGAATGGCTGCCTTCTGTGACTTTCGATTTCATCTTCATGTTTGCTTTGAACGCGCCTTCATATCACCTTCAAATCCATCTGCAAACCCTTAAATACGCTATAATGTTGCATTATGACACACAAATTGGTGGCCCATTTGAAGGACTTTCCATGGTTGGGGAATAATTGTTTTTGCTTACTTTGGAGTCGTGTCGAAGGTTTGGGCCTAAGTGATCAAAAGCAAGAGGACTCAAAGTGGCATATTCAACTGAAGAGGGACATTCAAAGAACACACAGTTGGTCCATTCGAAGGACACATAACTGGTGGAAAAGAATGTTGCTTTGTTGAGTCTGGACGAAGGTTATGGAAAAATGAAGGATTCAATTCAAAGGGTCAAGTTGTCCATAGGTCAGGCTACATAGGCCTCCAACTTGTGCCTCACTCCATATTAAATTGTTCTTCAAGCCAACTTGCTCTTGATGACATCACTACCTTTTTAGAAAGTTTTTGAGCCTTGCGTCTGTCTCTTCTGCATATTTGCCCCCTATAAACTAGGAGCCACCCATCTAAACCATTGATTTTGTTACTTTTATCTTGGGATTATAAAAAGTTGACACAAGTGGATGTTGGCCTTTCAAAGAAACTATATTTTATTCTTTCACAAAGCTTCTCATTCTAAAAATTTTCTCTATAAATAGATAGTTCATTTGCACATCAAAAGGGGGAGGCAGCAAGAGAAAACGTTGGCAGATTTTGGCTGTGTGGGAAGAACCTTAAAAAAACTCTCAAACTCTCAAGATTCCCGAACACTAAATACACTCTCAAATCCAGATTCTAAAGAAACAGAACACTTGTTTCTTTTTCTCTTTCGAATCTGAAACAGTCCCCACACTTTGCTTTTCTTTCAAATCCAGTAGAAAGAACACTACACCTGTTCTTCTCCCTCGAATCCAGAAATAACAAACACCACCGTCATACCTCCTGACCTTTGAATCCAGTTAAAGGAACACCACACATGTTTCTTTCCTTCGAATCCAAGAGCGTCTAGTTTAACCACTTGAAGGTCCAGCACACGCTCCAGCCTCCAGCAAGGTAAGTTGTTCTAAACCTTAAACTTTTTGTTTCTTGCATAACATGTAAATACAATTCCTTTTTGTTTCAAACATGTACATACTACTGCTCTTCTTTTTGTTTCTATCCTTTTAATATGTTTCATGGTTAACAACCTTCTTGGTTTTTGCTCTTTGTATATTTAAACATGCTTTAAAGACTAACCTGGCCCTAAGGTAATGTTGGCACGACCTTAGACCATATTGCTATTTAAACTCAAACGAAAGAAACAGGAGATAGAAGTTAGAAATGAAGCCTCTGGCTTCCATACTAACCTCCAGGTCAAACGAAAGAGGCAGCCAGAAGGCACAACATGCTGGCCTCCAGGCCCCAAATGAAAGACACAACATGCTGGCCTCCAAGCCCCAAATGAAAGGCACAACATGCTGGCCTCCAGACTCCAATCGAAAGACACAACATGCTGGACTCCAGGCCCCAATCAAAAGCCATGCCTTCACCCCTTTCAGGCCAGATCGAAGAGAGCCAGAAAATGCAGAATCGAATGGTTTGCTGCCCTAAATCGAAAGATCCCTTTTTCTTTCTTTTATTTTATTTTTGCCTTTATATTTTCATGCAATTCAATATGGTTGTAATAGTGTAGAATTTTATCTTTCTGCACTTTTGACTTTATATAAAATGCTAGTAATTAGGGTGTATGGCTAGATAAAATCAACAAGTAGACCATCCTGATCAAAAGATAAAAATGCATGGAATCAAACACACTTTGCACACATGCACCTCTAGGGATAACTCCACTTGTTGCCTTATAAAAAATAGTCATGTTATGCATGTGAGATATCTTAGCAAAAATAATAAAAAATACATGATCATAGTCCCTCGATGACGCTTCGAATGTTGCCTTACAAATGATCTTAGTGCCTCAAAAGAAATGATGCGATATCTCACAACATTGCTATTATGACTATACGATGACCCACGCCCATCCCTTCACATCCAATGATGGGGCTTCTTACCAAATCATTGGTAAGATAGCAATATCAAAGGAAGAGAGGAATGAACAAAAGACTTTTGAGTAAGGTAGAATGTTCCTAGTTGCTTACTCATCTTCAAAACACAGACACCTTTTCAAATACACCAACACTTTCCATTGAAATATTTTCAAAAGTTCAATACTTTGTATACATTCTTATAGAGACGAGAATCATTACAAAGTTTGCCTAAACGAATGCGCTTTTCAAAAATACTTTCAAAAAACACCACAAAACACATTTCAAACAAAAGCAAAGATCTAGCAAGCAACTAAGAACCCATAGATAATTATGGATGAAAATGGTGCTAATACCTTCTCTTTTCATAATCTACCCCCCGAACTCCAGAAAATAATCTCAAAGGTCTTTCCTGTTCTTTTCAACCTTTCCTTATTGGATAAAAGAAAAGTCGGTGGCGACTCTTGCTATCCGCAACAATTGCGATCAAACGCAAAAACATCCTAAATCAGTTCTTCCACCGTGTTACACACACCATAGTCATTAATTGACAAGAACGCAGAATGGAGAATATTCTTGATCCAGACACTAAAAGTATCATTGAAACCGAACTTCATAAGAACTTTCAATAGAAAATCCCAATTAAGGGTATCGAAAGCTTAAATGATATCCACTTTCAAAGCAAGATTACCACACCAAGCCTTAGTGTCCAATAAATTGAACACCTCAGAAGCCAAACTGATACATTCATGTATGTTCCTGCCATGAATAAAACCCCATTGCTCCTTCGAGATAAGCATATGCATAATAGCAACAAGCATGTCCGCTAGAACGTTGGAAATAATTTTAAACTTGAAATTAGAGACAACATTTGGGCGAAAAAGTTCTAACGAATTAACTCCTTTGATTTTGGGAATAAGAATGATAGAATTAGCATTAAACCCGGAAAGAACCCAATCAGAGGTGAAAAACTGAATAATCGCCTTTGAAACGTCGACTTTGATAATATCCCAATATTTTTGATAAAACACTACCTCGAAACCACCAGGCCCAGGTGAACCATCACTACTCAACTTGAAAACTGCAGCCGAAATCTCATCAATAGAAGGAATGGTTGTCAAAATATGGTAGCAAGGAAAATAAAGTAATTATAAAACAGTCCAATTCAAAAGCAGTTCCAATAGATTAATTAATAACAACACTTATTCAAATTCCTAACACCCCATTTATCTTAACCAAAATCGAACTGTAAAAGGAAACCAATCAAAAATCAAAAACCAAACTAGCAAATTCAGCTGAAAAATCAATTCATACTCTACTTATCTTTTTGACAAGAATCAGTAGAAAAGCAATTCAAAATTTGACTTAATAGGCAATTCCATGTATTATAAATGAACATAAAAGGTATCTTGTTCAAGGTTGAAGTATCCAATTTCCGTGCAAATTCTCAATTTACTAAACAGAAAAATTGATACAAACTTCATCAACTGAACGAAGCAAACGCTCATTAAGTAATCTTTGAAATATATGGAAAAAAATTGAAGCCTCATTGAATAATGTTTGAGTGCAAAAACCATTGCAGCCGACTCAAAAAACTTCCAACACAATCAACACACACAACCTCTTCTTGGTAAAACAAAATCTTTGAAAGATGTTCTATTTATTCCTTTCAAGTCTGCTTGAATAAATGTAGAAGTTTGTATTAGTGCTTGCATTAATAGAGAGTTAATAAATTATGAAATGTATCATTAAATTCTTAATTTATTTTATAATGTACATTTTATTTTGCTTCTATTATAAGAAATTTTGTGTTACATATAACATATTTGAAAGAAGGGAGAAAAGTTCAACACTCAATAAAACACCGCATGCATTACGACAAAATTCAATATCATTATGTAAGTAGAAGAGTTGCATCTTGAAGCTTCATCTAATCTTTCTAGCCACCTCTTCATCTAACCTTAAATTCAGAAGAAAGGCTTATAATATGGATTTCCCTTTAAAGTAATGAACTTTTATTAGGTTGTGATATCATTGGGAATTTCATGTTAAGAACAAAAAATATGATGCTTCACATGAAATGCCTGCATGATTATTAGGTTTGATTTTGTCTTGGAATTCTATGTAATGTTGTGTATATTACCAGGCTTGATAATGCATGAGTTTATCCAAGGAAGTTAGGAGGCTGTAAATTAGATTTAGATCCTTGCTCTGCTGTGGTTGGTTGAAAATATTCTGAGTTTGTTATGAAATTAGATTTAATAATTTAGAGTTTGACTAAAAAGAAAAAAAACTAATGAAAAAGTTCTTTCATGTAACATTTGAACTAGGATATTTCTTAAATTTTATTTTCATCTTTGCACATGAAAAAAGTCAAGGGGCATCTCCTTTTGGATTATAGAATAATTTATATATTATCAAGTCTCTCATGCTTAAAAACTATAAAGGATAATTTAAAAAGAATCGCTGAAATCACATTCATAATACCAACATACAATTATTTTACAACTCTAACAAAAAATATAAATTATTTGAGAAAGCTTGCAATCAAATCATCAAACTCAGAGAAGTCTTCTGTAATCTCAGGTAAGACTTCATAGTTATCTATTTCCTCTGTCAATTTCCAATCATTTGCAACATCATAATTGATTTCTTTTTCCTCCACTTCTTGATGACAAGAAGCAATTCCTACTTCATAATTGTTTTCTTTTCCCTCTGAAGGAGGCCAAAAAACATTTTTGGTTTCAACATTATTCTTTTTGTGTTCAAGAACCTCTTGAGGAAAGGTGGAGGAGGTGTGAGCAATATTCTTCTCAAGTTCAGCATGATTTCTTTTATGAACCTAAAATTAATAAAAAATAATAAAATAGTAAACTAAAGTTATGTTTAAAAAATTAATGTAGAAAAACAATTATTAAAAATAATTTGATGTATCACCTTCCTCTTATAATCTCGTTTCTTCCTAGGTACGAAAACACTAGGAAGAAGTAAATCACCAACCCTTACTTGATGAATACTTAGCGAAACTTTGGTTGAGACTTCGTGTAGGTATGACAAAGCTTCTTTTGAAACATCTCCCACATTCATATTAATCTCTTTTCTCTTTATTTCTTGAGGACAAGAAGCATTTTCCGCTTCAAAATTGTTCTCTATGTCATGTGTCTCTTGAGAACACACATCAATTTTTTTTTCTTTTTCAGCTGCATACTTGGTCTTTTTGTCCCCAATTTCTAAAGGATGACCAAAAATATTTCCGATTTTAATATTATTCTCTTTGTTTTCCAGAACCTCTTGAGGATAGGTGGAGGAGCCAACAACAATATTCTTCTCCACTTCTGCATGATTTCTTTTTTGAACCTAAAATTAATAAATATTAATAAAATATTAACGTAAAAGTATGTTTTAAAAAATTATGTAGCAGAAACCTTATAAAAACATTTTGATGTTTCACCTTCCTCTTATAATCTCGCTTCTTCCTAGGTACGAAAAAACTAGGAGGAAGTAAATCACCAACCCTTATTTGAGGAGTACTTAACGAAACTCCGGTTGAGACTTCATATAGGCATATTAATGCTTCTTTTGAAACATCTCTCATATTCATATTAATCTCTTTTCCCTCCATTTCTTGAGAACAAGAAGCATTTCCTGCTTCAAAATTGTTCTTTATGTCGTGTGTCTCTTGAGAACACACGTCATTTCCTACTTCAATCTTTTTTTCTTTTTCAGCTGCACAATTGGCCTTTTTTGTCCCTAATCTCTAAAGGAGGACAAGAAATATTTCCAATTTCAATATTCTCTTTGTTTTCAAGAACCTCTTGAGGGTAGCTGTAGGAGCCAACAACAATATTCTTCTTCACTTCTATATGATTTCTTTCTTGAATCTAAAATTAGTAAATAATTTTAAAATATTAATATAAGATTATGTTTAAAATATTATGTAGCAAAAACATTAATAGAATTATTTTGATGTATTACCTTCTTTCTATAATTTCGTTTCTTCCTTGGTACAGAAAGATTATGAGGAAGTAAATCACCAAACATTATTTGAGGAATGTTATTTTCATTAGCTTCAATTTCAAATTTATTTTCTTCATCATTATACTCATCGTCCTAACAATTATTAAAAGAATTATCAGTAATGAAGTATAAAAAAATTATCTAATATTACTAGTAATATAAAATTTAAATAATGCAACATAAACATTATTTACATTCATCACCTTTTTATTTCTTTTCCATGTCTCCAATTTAGCATATCCTTCGGGAAGTAAGTTATTCACAACTTCCGTAACAGATCTCAACTTTTTACCACCATTGATAGAATTGTGAATATAATACTTAAAAAAAAACAAAAAAAAAAACATAAATCACTTACATTAATATTATTATTAACAAATACCTATTATTTATTATATATTACATAGTAAAAATATTATATCATTTACAATAAATCAAATACAAACCCAAAATTACAAAATATTAAATTTTGACTTTCCTAAAAACACTTGCGAGACCATTATAATATTATAGGTAAAAGAAATACAAGTTTTAGTAGAAAAAGTTTTAAAACATCGAAAACTATGGATTATATTTTTGGTTTAAAATGGAGACTATAATTCTAAATCAATATAAACAAGGAAGAAATTATTTTTTAAATGTTAAAGATATAGAAATTGTCAATGATAAACATAGAATTATATTCATTAATTATATATATATATATATATATATATATATATATATATATATATATATATATATATATATATATATATATATATATATATATATATATATATATATATATATATATATATATATATATATATATATATATATATATATATATATATATATATATATATATATATATATATATATATATATATATATATATATATATATATATATATATATATATATATATATATATATATATATATATATATATATATATATATATATATATATATATATATATATATATATATATATATATATATATATATATATATTTGTTTTTTTACAACATAATAATAAAATACATAATAATTTGATTCAAATATTACTTTTAGTTTTTTTCTTTATTTTAATATATTTTATTAATAAAATATTTAAACCACTTTTTGGTTTATATAAAAAAATTTAATTAAAAAATCATTTTGTAATCCTATAAGCTTTTTATTATAATTATTTTAATAAATAAAAATATCCTTTTTTTCTAAAAACTATTTAAAATAAATGCAATTTTAACAAACTTTAATAATACAAAAGGCTAAAATTATAATTATTATTATTTTAATAAGATAAAAATTTATTTTTAATTAAAAAACTCTTTTTTATACTTGGATTCTCCATCTTTCTGAATTTACTCAAATGCAAACTATTAAATTAATTAGTACCTAGTTTTTCATGAATAAAAAAACTTAAAGAACAATAAAAATTACCGTATCACATATTCCTGAATTCCTCTTTCTGCATTGTACTTCCCAATTTTCAAGATTAGATAACATTTTGTTTATTCCAGAAAAACATGTAGTGTCAAAATCAACAGGAAATGAAAAAGAAAAAAATTTCTTTTTCACTAGTGATGTTGTCACAAGCCTTCCACGACTGCTCGACGATTCCTGTAAAACAAGACCATCATATGACACGATACAAAAATCTTTAATTTAGTCAATTGTATTCATAATTTAGTTTTTTGAATAAATTAAAAAGTTGAACTTTAATTGGTTATTGGAGTAAGAAAAAATTGAAATGATTTACAATCATGTCTATTGCTTATAGAATAGAAAATATCAATTTTCACACAAGACAAAAACGATGCGTTTATAAAATTATTATGAATAAATGAAGGATATAAGAATACATACACAAACTGGTATAGTTTCAGCATTTGTTCTGATCATTTCGCGACACATGGATCTAAAATCTTGTACTTTGTTCTGTGTCATGTAATAAGATAGATACACTGAATTAGCTATACTAATTTTTTTGTTTGTATATTTTTTAAAAATAAATAAATAAGAATGAAGGAAAAATAATAAATATTTACTTACATTGATATTATCTCTGAGCAAGTAAGCTAGCTGTTGGCCATAAACCCCATTTTCTTGATTGTTACTCATTCTTTGAAATGAGAATGAAACAAAAACTTTGTGTGAATAGTGTAAAACTTCCAATTGGTGATTATAATGATTCTTTTAACTCTTTATATAGAGAGAACCAAAGACTGAAAATTAAAAAGCTTGAAAGAATAAAATATATTTGTTTTACCATTAAAAAAAATAATAATATGTAAAAATATTAGTGTAAGAAAAATAATGGAAAATTTAAATTATTATAGTTTGAATTATTTTAATGTTCATGTATCTTATTTCAGGCGTTGGATAGAGCATGGTTTTTTAACATTATATTATATATAATATACATATAATATGTTTAACCATTAAGGAAAACTTCAAAAAAAAAAACTTAAAAGATATTGTTTTTAAAAATTAATAAAAAATATTGAAAACATGTCCTTTACTTTAATCACATTTCTCTTTATTTACACTTTTGCTAAAATTTCCTTAAATTAGCCTAAAGTTTTTTGCAAACAGATTGCAAGAAAAACACTCATTTTAGTAAAGATGTCTGTAAAAATTATTATTAGTGATACTTTTGTTAAAAATAATTTATCCTTTTTCTTTTTTTAAAAAAATAATAACACATTCATCTAGAGTTTCCTAGTGTCTACTGAATCAAAAACCAAGTCTCTCATTTTAAACCAAAAATATCATTCCTAAATTTTTTCATATTTAGACATTTTTTCTTCTAAAATTTGGATATGATTTTGTTAATCTGTCAATTTAATAATGAAAATAGAAAAATCTTAATGTTCATATCCTCAAAAAGAAGTCCCAAATTCAATGGTGGACAAAATCCATGTGCAAATTAAACCTACCTTAATTTTTTTAATGATTTCAATTTATATATATATATATATATATATATATATATATATATATATATATATATATATATATATATATATATATATATATATATATATATATATATATATATATATATATATATATATATATATATATATATATATATATATATATATATATATATATATATATATATATATATATATATATATATATATATATATATATATATAGTTTATTGAATACAAAATATTTTGGGTTTTTAAATGATTAATTTTATAATAATGTATTAAGAAAAATTTCTAAATTTTTTTAAATTAACAGTTAGTTTAAGAAATATTTTAATCATCAAATATATATTTTTATTAATATTTATTACTGAGAATAATGAACCTGGACAGTAATCACATTTTTTTAATGCAAAAACGTCAATTAATTAACTCTTTGAATTGGATAGGAACAAAGAAAAAAGGAACTTTTTAAAATAAAAAAATAAAAAGGAAATTTTAAATAAAACCTTTATGCAACGTTTTCCTTTTAAGATCAATTAACGTTGTCAACAAAGTTATCATTTTAATATATATATATATATATATATATATATATATATATATATATATATATATCAAGAACTATATCTTGCAACGATTTCCTTTTTTTAATTTGAAATTGTGATATGACAATATCCATATTATCAATCTTCTCGGTTGAATTTATCCTTGTAGTGACCGAGAATACATTGTCATTGAAGTCATGCAAATAAAAAGCGTGCATAGGCCGATGAATTCAAATAATAATAAAATAAATTAAAAATAATAAAAATATTCGAAATACAAATTATCAACTTTTTTTCTTCCGATAAATGGTTGTATTTAAAAGCATAATGAGTATCAATCCAATATAAAAGGAAAGGCAATCTAACAAAGTTCCAAAACCAACAAAAGAACTAAAAACTACAAGCCAACATACACTATAAGATTGTTGAACCATACGTAAAGGACAAGATCATCACTACCTTTAAACAAGATAGATGACCAATCTCAACCGCGTTTCTTAATGAAAAGAAAAGAGGCGACACTTCTTCAAACTCTGGTGTCAAAAATCTTTATATTTCTATCAATTCACACACCAACAATTCAAAACCCAAAAGAAGGTTACAAAAGATGACGAAACCGAAGCGGATAACAACTCCACAACATCCCCCAACCAAAGAAAAGGTGGTCTAATGATTCTTCTTCGAACTCACAAAGCGGACAAGAAATGTCACTATCTAAAAGCGTCACTCCCCTACGATCCAATTCAAGTCTAGTTGATAAAGCATTAAAAAAAATCTCCACCCAAACAATTTAACCTTGCAAAGAATTGGAGATTTCCATAACCTATCAAGCTCAAGACGCCTTCTCTCCTCCAAAAAACCACACTAGAATGGTTTAACGAATAAATCCACCTATAACCATTCTTAACCGAAAAACCTTTTGCATTCCCCCACCACACCAATTTATCAATTGATGTGAATAAAACATTTTTTAAAGATACATCAGAAAATATGTATTAACTATTAAAAAAACTAATTATGTACATACAAAGGCCCTTCAAGGTACAAAGAAAAAACATAATAGCAATTACAAGTTGCTATACCAAACTTTATTAGTTGAACTTATGTTTATGTTATTTAGGCAAGCTATTCTATTTTTTATATTACCCTTTATCGTTTAAACACTAATATCCGGATACTGCAACTTATGATTCCAAAACACAACATTCAAGACTCTCCAAGTTTGATACACAATTGTCACCAAAGTTGCAAAGTAGATTTGTTGTTTGAATCCACCTTGTAATATCTTGCAATTTATCACTAATCATATTCCAAGCTAACCAGTCTTTTATTTGATGCCAACAATTCCGGCTATACACACATTCAAAAAAAACATATGATGATTTGTTTCTTCATGAATACCACACAACAGACATTTGTTACTATCAACAATTTCGATGTTCTTAAGTCTCTTTCTAGTTTTCATTATATTTTGTATAGACAACCAAGATATGATGTTGTGCTTAGGAATATTCATCCGAACCCAAATGATTTTCGCTCAATGCTTTTTCTCAAGCTCTCCCTCAAAAAGCTTGCAAATCTTATTGATTTGATACTCAACACTATTGAACTCTTGCAGATTGGGTTGACCTTTAATTTTTTTTCTTTCACCTTAAGAATTTTCTTCCAATACTAGCTCCTTTTCTACGGGTCCTTATAACCCCACCAATTATCCTCCTTTAAGTATACATGGTGCACCCATTTAACCCATATATTTTATTTATTGGTCGCAATAGCCCATAAATGTTTCCTAATTGCAGCATAATTCCACTGATAGTTATTCTTGAAACCAAGGCCCCTCGATATCTTTGGCTTTCATAAGAACTCCCAAGCAACACTTCCAGGGCTACATGAGACATCTTTTCCAGTCCAAAGATATGCTCTGCAAATTTGTAGTTATATCATGGATCACTCTTTTTGGCACAATAATGATTTGGCTCTGGTAAGTGTGAATATTTAAAAGGACAACATTAATTAGCACAATTCTTCCTGTAAATGATAGAGATCTTGAACTCCAAGTTTTAGTTTGGGTTGTGATCTTTTCCACTAGAAATTGACAGTCTTGGGCAGAAATTTGCTTAGAATTTATGGGCATACCAAGATATTTTAAAGGGAAACTACTTTTACTGAAGCCTGAAGCATCCATTACTCTTTGTGCCTCTGAATCCTTCATACCACTGTAGTAAATTTCTATTTTATCATTATTAGGATACAAGCCTTAGGTTCTCGAGAAAAACTTCAGCCCCTGCAACATACTATGGATGGAGATAAATTTTCTATGACAGAAAAGCTGAACATCATCTGCAAAACTCAGTTGATTAAGCTTTAGGCCTTCACACTTCTCATGGAATTTGAAGTTATTTATTCTCCCAAATTTATCCATAATTCAGGAAATGTATTCCATTCCCAATACAAATATCAAAAGGGACATAAGGTCCCCTTGTCTTAAGCCTCTCTTGGAAAAATAATCCATGCATTGCTTCATTGATCATGAGCGAAAATCTTGGGGTTCTCATACACTGCATCATTAGATATCTATAAATGATTGGGAAATGGAGGGATTTGAGCATTGTAAGTATGAAGTGCACCTAAGAGGGGGGAGGGTGAATTAGGTACTTTAAAAAATTCAGGTTTTAGTGATGATGGATATTATTTTTCTGGATTATGGTGAGTTTATGAAAGAGTAAAGTGCAGAAAAATAAAGAGACACAAGCGATATAACCTGGTTCCCCTTACAGTCCGAGAGTACTCCAGTCCCCTTTCAACATGAAAGAGATTTCCTTATTGTGGCAAACTTAAATAAGGACTACCCAAAACCAAGAACAATCCTCTTGGACCAAGAACAATCCTCTTGGATTTTGACTATGTCAACAATGAGAACAATCCTCTCAAAGTGACTTCACTTGTATCCAATAATCCTGGAAAGACAAGATTTATAAAACTACTTAAACTTATTTCCAACAATCCTGAAAAATAAGTAAGTATTTATCAATATTTGATTTGAGTGAGTTTGAGTAGTAATGATCACTTTGAGTGATTTAATCAATGAATTGATATTCTCTTCCAATGATAATAGTATACAATGACTCAAGATATATAATGCTCAAAGTTTTCTGGTTAACAATATGTGAAAGTGTGCAGAAAACTTGTGTATGAAAGTGTATAACAGCTTGAGTTTGTTTTTTGAAAATTCAGAAAATATATTTGGAAGAGGTGCAGTAAATGATTTTGAAAATGAGTATTTATATGTTCATAGCACCTTTTTGAAACAACGTAAAGTTCTATAAATGAATCATGAACAATTTCCAATATTGAGTGAAAGGTTTCCATGAAATGGTGTTATGAGCAGGCATGTACAAAGCTGTTGTTTTTCAAAATCGTGCAGCATGCAATCGATTGCACCCTTTGTGTAAATAGATTGAACGGGGTTTCAACAACTAGATTTTCAAAAGCTTTGAGTGTCCAATCGATTGCACAAGAGTGTAAATCGATTGCATGTGAAGTCAGTAGCAAAAATTGATTGAGTGCAATCGATTGCACAAACATGCAAATCGATTGTACTGAGAAACAGTAGCAAAAGATTTGAAAAAATTGA